AGAGGATAAGTCTGGTGATATTCTGTATTTCTCTTATTGTCATCTGATCCAGTGAAAAGACCAAAACTGACAGTGAAGGAATTTATGTCGCCAAAGCCGGATTTCACTTGTTCCTTTGTGCCACCAAGCTCCATTGTTTTTTGCAGAAATGATTAAAACACATTTTCGAACCGCGCCGTCGCGCTGGCTGACGTGTTTGTTAATGACAATAAACAAGGCTCGTGTAGTTTATGTGGAGCATCGACATACATACCGGGTCCTGCTGTTGTAATTAGAGCACCAAATGTGGATTAATCCACCACTCTAAATAGTACCACAGCAGAAACAGCCCTGTTTGTGCAACTTTTGCAGCTACAGCGCCCAGCGGTTGTGGAAAATTATTTTTAAATATTGAACTCTACATACATATCTATATATTGGCATCTTCAGAGCAACCCGTGAGGTGGAATCTAAATGCCAAAGGCAGAGTCAGGAGGTTTGAGAGCACTCACAGGGTAAGACACAGATGAACACGTTGTTGTTTTTCATGGAATTCACTGACAGCAGAGAAAAAAAGAAGAGTTCTTACTAGACTTATGCATCAGATGTATGATGCACACTATATTTGTGTAAAGACAAGATGTAAGCTGTCAAGCTGAGCCACTGAAATCATAACTTTTACATTTGTTTTTATTCCTCAGATGTGAATTTATGGCAGTATTAAGCCACAGGCAAGTCCATTTCCTGTTTAATGATAAATGTGAATAAATGAGACTATTGTGACTAAAAACAGTAAATCCTATGTGACTGATAAACCTTCACGGTTCTCACTGTGAAGCATAATATTCTTTTTACAGCATCTATAGATGTGCATTATGAAAATTATTACCATTATACATCATGTCTTAAGAAACATAGAATATAGATGGTTTGATGCATTAAACAGAACGAGAGCGAGGCCACATATGGCCCTGTAGGATCAGGCTCCCTCTGAAGACCTTGGCAGTGCAGAAGATATAAGTCTAGTTCTTTTGTTCTTCCTGCCATTGCAGAGCAGTATCAGGAGGAAAACGACTGCGTTAAACTTCATTTAAAAAATAGAATAAAGCAATTGCAATATAATGGTAAAAATCAAGCTACATAAAAGTAGCAGTAATAAGTGTGGGGTAAGTTCACTTGATTTGATGGTAAATTAATTCAACTAAACATGTCTACCGCAGGGCTGCAAGGTGGAGCAGTTGGTAGCACTGTTGCCTCGCAGCTAGAAGGTCGCCGGTTTGCATTTCAGTGGGGGCACCAGGATATGTATGTATGGGTTCTCTGTGGGTTCTCCGGCTTCCTCCCACAGTCCAAAAACATGTTGAGGTTAATTGGTGATTCTAAATTGTCCGTAGGTGTGAATGTGAGTGTGCTTGGTTGTCTGTCTCTAAGTGTAGCCCTGTGATAGACTGGTGACCTGTCCAGGGTGTCCCCTACCTTCGCCTTGGGTCAGCTGGGATAGACTCTAGCCCCCTCGTGACCCCAGTGAGGATTAAGCGGCGTATAGATGATGGATGGATGGATGTCTACCGTGAAAAACCAACATGCGTAATTCTCCAAAAACCAGATATTTACTTTTAGTCCCACAATTAAGCAGCTGTAAGTTGTATTCAAACATTAAATTACTGGTTTATAACACGCTTAATGTATGAATATAGTATGACACAGCTCAAATAACATAAAACATATCTTCATAGAAGAAGCTACATTGAGATTATGGGATAATTTTTTAGCTTAACAAAAACCTTTTTTTCAAATTAGTCTGTATACAGGAACAATGAGTTTTTAAGGTCATTTGAATAATTAAAACATATTTTATTATTAGACATCAATAAGCACATTTATGTCACAATCAATCATATTTAAAACATCCGGTATGAGTGGAAGAGTGTAATCAGTGAAGAAACATCTGTGTAGCTGAAGTCTTCAGAAGACATGCCCGTCATCTCATACCTTAAGAATCTCACGCTGCCAATGTTTCAATATGATCTTTAAGCAAGTTATTGAAGTCATGTGATGGAAAAATTAGAATATAAATGACCACTGCTTGCTCACCCATTGAGCAAATGCTTCTATCAACTGTCTCATCAGCGCCTTATTATAGACTGTAGATATCACACGCTAATGCCACCTCTGGTGTCGTGACGAATTAGGATAGCTATCACATGCTATGATAGTAGTCATTTGTTAGGATGTCACGGAAAACAAATACAATGTAATATCCTGATGTGAGGCGAGGGGGAGGTGTTGTGTCTGTGATCTTCATTGTGATTTTAATGAGAATGTCAGCGCTCTCGGTAATAGGTAGCTGATTATAATAAGAATCTCCACTCTGCTTCCTCCCATACTGTGCCGTGATCATACTGGAGTGATAGCGAGGACACGCTTTCCCCTGTACACACTGGTGTCCTTTTGCGTGTATTTCTGTCTCCCATTCCTGCTCACATCATGTTTCCACGCAATGTGCTCAAATCTATGTTTTTACCCCATGGAGGTGAAGTTTGATGTTAAAAGAGGCGTCATTTGCAAACATAATTTGTTTCAATTTGAAATGCATTTTCTCACTTTTACTTCACCTCACTGTGTTTTCTCTCTCTGGTTGCTTTCACCTCCCGTGTTTTTCCTCAAAGACATAGTGCCATCTAGTGTGCATTGCAGTTGGTTGCATGCCAGGGTTGCTTGTTGCAGTTTTATTACTTATTCATGGGCAATGCGCAATGATACAAGAGGAAGGTTCATTCCAATGTGAAAAAGCTTCTTCTGACTTTTGTTTTTGAGTTCATCAAGTATGTTTTATTTTATTTATTTTTTTCTTTCATTCCCAGAGGATCTCTTTTCGCTTTTTGTCTCCGTAAAGGATTTTTATTTAACTGTGTTTACTGTAAAAAAAATCCCCTCATCTGTTTTTGTATAATTACCATATGGCTCATACTTTGAGTTCTCACATGTTTGCTCACCTTTGCCATGTGCTTCATCAGAAGAAGTAACCTATAGCTCATTTATTTTCAGCCACATGACACATGGCAGTACCATTTTTGAAGTAGGTGCTAATCAGATGTTTGCATTGCTAATACGTGAGTCATTCCCGGTTTAATTCACACTTTTTCACAGGCCTGGTTTTGCTGCAGATCCTGAGAAAAATCTCCTCACTTGTTAAACTAAACTTAATGTATGAGGTTTAGTCAAACATTGCCAGTCAATCTCTTGTATTGAGTGCAGCCTTGACCCTCTGGGCAGTATCAGAGCTGCTGAAGTGCTTTGGCATCAGTGTGACAGGATTAACACATCAAAAGCAGTGTCGGGGCCTACAGCAGCGTCACACAGTCAGTACAGCACCTTTCATGTTCTGCTCAGGTTCACTACAATTTCACGTAAGCCAACAGCAAGTCAGACGGAAAAAGATAATGGGGCCAACCTGCTGCTATCAGGCTTTCCCTCAGCTTCAGTGAAATATGTCAAATTCCGTGTGTTTGATGAAAGATTGGAGTTCAACAGGCTCAAGTCAGGAAACGATATCTGACTTTGTCACATGGCCAGGATGCAAAGGAGCATTTAAGTCTGACATTCAAGCTGAAATTATTGCTGCGAGCCAGCATGGTCTTACTTTTCATGATGCAAACCTTCGATAGGCAACACAGAAGGAAAATTAAACCCAAATAATTTTTGGGGAGTCCAAGAGTTGATGTCTCAGGGTTAAATCCCAAGATTTATAATCCCTTTGATTAGATGTGGTATTAAGTGAAGGTGGGGGGATTTTATAACATTTCAACAAATGAGATGCATCCTGGGTAAGAGGGTTTTTATTTTTTTTAAAGAGTAAAGAGTAGCGCATAATTAACTCGACTCAAATGTTAAATCTTGAACCTACCATTTTTCATATAATGTATGTCAGAAATGTCAAGGATAAGTCTCAGCGCCTTTCATTTCCTGCGAGATGCTTTTACAAGGACGAGCACACTGTGTGCTATTGTAGACTCAATTTTCTATGTAGACATAATGCCTTATTGAAAAACATCCAAAGTGGGTACACATTCAGTTAGGGCTACACTTTAGCATAATGATTTCTTTTCAGTTGCTATGTCCCCTTGTGTTCCTATGAACTGTATACACTGATCTGCCACAACATTAAAACCATCTGCCGAATATTGTGTTGCTGCCAAAATAGCTCTGCACCGCCGGGGCTCAGACACGAGACCTCTGGAGGTGTCCTGTGGTGTTTGGCACCAGGACATTGGCAGTGGATCAGGGTCGGGGGGGTTGCCATGGCTCAAGCTTGTTTCTGTGCATCAGATGTGGAGACGCTGGAGGCCGGGTCGTGCCTTGCATGTTTTGTCATCTTTGAACAGGTTGTGTACATTGTCCTGCTGGAGCTTGCGTATAAAATGCCGGAAAGAGAAGGAAGCAAAATCAAATTTCTTCTAGGCACATTTCCACACATTTTTAAAGCACTTGGCAGGTATGTCGCTCCAAGCATTGTAGAGAAGCTGCCGCTTGGGGGTAATAGGGGCTCAGTGGGCTACTGATCAGAAGGTCGGAGGTTCAGGCTCCAGCAAGCTGCCACTGTTTGGCCCTGTAACAAGGCCCTTAACCCTGTCTGCTTAGTGTGGCTAGACCAAGCTTCCTAGCAAGCCCATGAGGGATCAATAAAAATAAAAATTAGAGAGGGGAAGGGAAAAAAAAGACTGAACTATAATCCCACACTGACTCCATGATGTTCTGTTGAGACTGTACCATCTGTTGCAGGATTCCCTCTTGTTGCTGAAGATTTCTAATTCTGGCAAAAAGTTTGGGTCAATGTCATGTTTCAGAATCGATTTCAGACTAAACAGAAAATCTCCCTGATGGAAAAGCACAGTAGATAAGAATACAAACATAATAAATGTCTAAAACTTTTGCACACGACTTCATGTATAAATAATAAAAGCTAGACTTGATTCGTCTTTTTTTCCCCTCTCTTGTAACAACCCCTTTTCTTTGCTTAGGTGGTTGACATAAAAGAGAAACTAAAGCTGTCCAAGAAATTTTGGTCCAACCTGCCCGAGGCGATGTGTGTGGAGGACAGAGTGACCGCTGGAAATGCCAGTGATGAGGAGTGCTGGAATGGACACACCAAGGGCAGGTAAGGCCACCAGGACTCGGGGCTAATGCAGGCTAACACAAAAGGTTACTTAGAAGTCCAAAGTCTGCTCAGCTCGCCTGATGTAAAGCGGTCTAATCCGAGAATTAACAAAGATTATTTACTTTCCCTGACTTAAACTCCACTGCGCAAGAGCTTGGCATAGTTTGATTCAACTAAAAGCAGAACGTCGCCTCTTGAACGCTCCATCGCTCTGGTTTGGTCTGATTGTGTAGTAAAGCTTACTTTTTCTCAATTTATTTTTTTTTTGTGGAACTGTGATTGTTAGTTAAAATGCTCAGCCAGGATAGTACTCCCACTGTTAATCTGATTTCATTTTTAAAGCAAAATATTTGCATGAGGGCTCTAAATGCCCCCGGCTATTTCCGAGGTCACAGCAAATTGATTTATGCTACTTTTATTCATAATGTCAACTCTATTATTTAAACAAGAAGATGTTCACGGTGTACATTTTTAAAAATAACCCTTAGAGCTAATAATGTAGCATACAGTTGCCGTGTTCCAAAATGAAAAGAATATCACTCGGGAAATCAGATGTTGCCTCTTTTAACTGGGTGAGAGTGTGGAGGTGCATGTTATCGAGGGGGATCTGGGCTTAAGGAGGGGGAAACAAATGCTGTTGTGTCAGATGATTCAAGGAATGCCCTCACATGATGGCCTGCTGCTTATTTATCAAAGAGGAATGCAGGAGGCAGACATGTTTTCCCTAGAGAAATGTCTCGCAAGTGCGTCAGAACACTACCCTGACTGGGTCAAATGTTCATTTTGCTAACACAAAGAGCTATTCCCAAATGCTTTATGAGAATCAGACCCAAAACTACAAAACCGCTGTAATGTTACTCCACCCTTAGCTTCTTTCTGGTCTCTTATGTTGAACTGCTAATGGGAATCCTTTGCATGTCAGAGACGCCCGTTTTAAGCACTCACTGGTTTCTTCTCTTACCAAGCAGCTTTACAATGACAGCGACTTCATCTCATTTGTTATGCTATAAAGGTACTTTCCCGAAGTCCAGAAGGACGGCCTCACCAACCAGTTGAACAACCCCGAGGTCGGCGTCGACATCACGCGCCCAGACACCTTCATCCGTCAGCAGATCATGGCTCTGAGGGTGATGACCAACAAGTTGAAAAATGCCTACAATGGCAACGATATCTACTTTCAAGACTCAAGTAAGACTGTTTGCCGCCTTCATGTGTACAAATGTGACAACATGCTACAATTTTTTTTTCTTTTCTTGAGGAGAGAAATGTATTTTTAGTCCTGCCCTCCCCCACCCCGTTTGGTCAAGTTCATGTTCCAGCTACTTGTCACTCATCTTGATAAGCTGTCTACTTTGAAATGCTGTCTAACCTTGAGGCAGAAGTATTTACCATCAGTAAAGCCACAGGAGGCACGGAAGGTGTAAATAGCTAACACTGGCAATGTGTAGTAGTTTAAAAAATAAGAAGAAGAAGAAAATACTGTCCTTTTCTTCATCAAGGTTTTTAAGCTTTGGTAGAAATTGTAGGAACAATGTTGAGGCATCATATCAGGTGTGCAGGATTCTGCTCTATTATACATACTTACATACCATGTTTACTGAATATGTTAAGTTTTCAGAGAGTGGTGTGTTTACAAATCTTGCAAATGCAGAGCAGTACGAACTTAACTTGGATTTCATGTCCACTTGATAAATGTAACTTCAGTCGTGGGTGGACACGGCTTTTAGCTCTGTTTTGGGTCTCCACCAACTCTTAATCTCTCAATATATCTGGACCTGAACGCTCTGCTATGTTAACAAGGTAGCTGCTAGCTGTGTCTGCCTGCTGTTTAGTGCTGGCCAGTGGATTTATTAGAGTACGTGAAAACAATGCTGATGAGGGCAGTGATAGTGAAACAGAACAGATAAAACGCTCCAAGGGATTGATGGGAACTGCTAGTGATAATATTTTTTTTGTGCGTTTATCTCCATGAATGCCACTTTTCAGATAATCATGGTCTTTTGGTGCTCTCTTATAGGGAAAAAATATATATGAAATGAATGTGTGGAAGGTCTGTGCTGTAGCTTTAAAGCAGTAATTTAGTGCTGTAAAGTCTGCTTGAGCTGTTGACTAATGTTGCACTAGTATTACAGGGATGTGCTCATTCTGGCTTGTGTTCTGTTATGGTATTACAGGCGACGAAGGTAGTGGCTCAGGCAGTGGCAGCGGATGCACAGAGGTCTGCCCAACATACATGGACGGCACAGCTGCCACTGAAACCCCGGTGGTGAGAGCCGACCGGAGCGGGCCTGTGGATGACTCTGCCTCGCTCTGTGCACCCTCTGTAGCCCTGCCAGCCATGCTGGCCCTCTCAGCCCTGGCACTTCACCGACAATGGAGATAATGCTGGAGGAACAGGCTAAACATGGACAGCAGGTTTTTTTTTTCTTTTTTTTTTTTTTCGTTTTTTTTTTCCTTTTCGCAGTTTTTATATTCAGGCAGATTGGAGCTACAGTCAAGCAGACAGCATTCACGCTGCCAGCCTTGAGGCTAGAGGAGTCTGCTCTGAAAAAGAGAGCAGTCATGCATCATGATTTCCCACTTTCCCAAAGATCGTGCAGTGCCATCCGTAGACTTGATATTTTATGGCATCTCTTCACCATCCAAAACTGATGCCGACCCAACAAACTCTGCTTCAGAGATTAAAAAAAATATATATATATTTGTTGCACATATGGCAGGTATTAATGTAGGTCTCCATGTGGAAAAATATAACTCGCACTTTGATTGTTTTGATTTTTTTATGCAAAAAAAACTTTTTGTGTGTTGAAAAATGTTGAGAATGTGGTTATTTGATGCACCTGAAAGAGGCACAATAAGTTCAACAGATGTTTAATAGTATATTTTAAAACAAAGGAGAAGGATCTAAATGACAGAAAATTCAAGGACATGCGATTTCCACCCAAATTTTCGATTGAATCCGTGTTCCATTGTCATTAACTCATGTGCCAATTATCGATTTGTGATGAGAAGCGACGAAATACTTTTATGTTTTTGGTTGTTTTTGTTTTTTAGATCAAATGCAGCCACTAAATCTATTCATCTCGCGTTTCACAATCATTTCAGCCACGTCATTTGGCAGGATTGTGGGCGCTCTATATCATTGGCTGGTCAACAGCTGCCTCGTGCTACAACTCACTACAAGGGTTAGGAGTGACATTTTATACGCTCATTTGCCTTGCAACAAATTAATCATCCGCAAAATATTCTCATATCATGCTGGTTTCTCAGGCTTGGCTTCAGAAGTATACAGCCCTGACAGAATTATTATGGGGGCAGTTATTTATATTCAGAGAAGGTGCCACCAATATGCTGCCAAAGTGATGCTGTTTCTACAGTGACTTGGTGTAAAATTAATTTCTCCATGTCAGAGAGGGCTAAACACGAATAATCACTAATGTGTAATCTTTGATAGTTTTTTTTTTTTTCTGGGTCAGAAGTAGTTGCGTGGAATGCGTTTCCATGGAATCGCTGTAAAGCATCAATGGAAAGCTACACAATAAGGGAAGTACAAATCAAAAGCTTAAAGAAAAACGATACTGAAGTGTTCCATAGATGTATTCTGCTTTCATTTTACAGAATGTCAAGCACAGTCGTTGAAAACCAGGATTGTATTTTGTGCAAATGGACGTTACACTAGAGGAGCACATTCATTCAATATAGCATCATGATCACTGAAGGAAGTCTTACGCTGCTGTAATCTCTATATAGTCATTTGGGCCTTTAACCTTTTCTGCTGCATCCTTTAGAATATTCTAAAAAAAAAAAAAACGTTTGCAGGTGTGTTTTGCAACTTTTGCATGTGATTGAATGACCAAAGTTTATTCCGTCACCGTTGCCTCAGTTTGGATAAAATAGTCATTTAAATGAACACTGAAGCAACAAAATTAAAATACTGTCAGACAGTATGAACAAGTCAAGATGAAATAAAGTAATAATAATATAAAATATATATATTTATTATTCTAGTTATGTAAAAGGGGAGGAAATTATTAAGAGAAGAAGCAGCAAACAGCACACAGTGGTTACTGGAAATGCAAAGAAAGGGTCCCTAAATTTATCTGGAAAGCTTGAATGGTTATGTCTGCAGCACAGACAGGCTTGAAGCCGACCACAGTCACCTGTGAAATGAGAATCTGTGGAGACTGGACAGGGCTGAATGCTTCAGTGGAGCTCCTCAGTAGAGCGTACTTACAGAGAATGTGAGAGGCCTGGCACTGCTGAGGGGGGCGGACAAAACCAGCCTGGATGTACATCCACTGTTCTCTGAGAGCCCGTCAGGTCCATAACCACCAGGCCAGCTAAGCTTACATATCCACAGAATTAGCCTGCGTTATGCCCGTCGCAGTATATCAATGAATATTTGTTGAGCTTTTCTTTATTGCATATAATTCTGCATCATTTGCATCCACATGACAAGAACACAAGTACTGAGAAAATATGTCACATGTGTCATTTAAAATGATTCTTTATTATGACTATTGATCTCACAGGATGCCCTTTTTATGTTTTGTATCATTGAACTTTTAATATTTTTGCAATAAAATATTAAAAACGGATGTCTGGTCAGACAAATTACTGAAAAATTGAATGAGTAGGAAAATGTCAACATTTTTCCTTTTTTTTTTTTTATTACAATTATTGCATTGCTGGATGAATTCAAATCCTACAGAGGAAAACGTTTATTTAGAGTTTGAATAGAATTTCAAACTGAATGGTGACGAACTAGTTGAGCAAGTATGCCTTACTGTTTTTCAGTGCAATTAAGATGATTGCATTTGTGTTTTGTTACTGTTCTTGAGAATAAATTGTTATTAAAAACATTCCAATAGATTTGTATTTGTGGTAACTCTGTAAATGATACACAACAAGAGATGGTAATGGGAAACAAAAGGGGGTCGTGTTTTGACATTTTCTAAAAGGATCTTTACATTCTGGTTAAAGTATACATTCATTTACAATGGCTTGGATCGTGTGGTGACTTTCTACTCATATTTTCCAATGGGTAGTATACGATTCACATGATTGTTCCTACATGAAATTTGATTTAATATCTAAAAGGCATAAGTGTCATTCATTTTGCAGGATTAAATATATTCCTTGTGCTTCACAGTCGAGCCTACGCAACACTGCAGACCGGCTGCTCCGTCTCTCTTAGGTATGTATGAGCACTGAAGTGCATTTCAGTACAACAGGTGAAATCTAGGCTTCCTCTGTGTACTTTCTATTTGTGAAATCTGCTTTTATCAGAGGTTCAAAGCCTCTGTTTCTCCGCTGACGCAGGTAGAGCACAAAGATAAGGAGAAGCACCAGGAGACCAATGAAGACTCCCCCCAGAGTGGAACCCAGCACAAACACGCCGGGCCCTCCATCTGCATCTGTAAAGATGAAGTACAGGTGGAGACACACACTGAAACCTTTTAGCAGAAGGAAAAAACTGAATACGATATTTGTTATGTTAAAAAAAGAAGGTATTCAAGATTTTCACCACTACATAACAAAGACTTAATGAGGCTTTGAAGCAGCATCGGTGACTCACTGTGACCACCAGCAGCAAGTTTACTGCTTTATTCAAAACTAGTCTGGCACAAATAACCCCCAAGAAAACAACCTATAGCTTTTAGATTTTGGTTTTGTACAGATTATATGGTATATATGTTTTTAGTCTTTATGTGAAGCTGCTTCATATTGACTGAAGGCACTATAGTTGAATCTCCTCATCATAATCTCAAAATAGACTCGACCCATTCCAATGTTTCCTTACCATCCAGGGCAATAGCATAGGAATAGCCCAGCTGCTCCGACGGGATGTAGATCTCCTCGTTGGTGATGGGAGGGAAAAAGGGAACCATGTTGTAGTCCCTGTTGTGACCGATGGGGGCCATCTCGTCCGGGAAGGTGGCGTTGGACGGAACAAACCTCCTCATCCACTCGTCGAAAATGGCGTCGGTGAAAGCGTGGAGCACCTGCGAAGGAAACACCACAGAAACACCACAGTGATTTCAATGCACGGGGGGAGGAATGTGTGTACCGTGTCATTTCATTGGAAACCATGATATTAGATACTGACCAGAAAGATGGGGTCGTTGGCCGCAGAGTGAGACAAAGAGCTGGTTCCATTGAGCATCGAGTGGACAAGGTTGTGAAGGTTATCGACGGATTCACTCAGTTCTCCGTCTGGCTTGTCGTACCCCTCCAGTGCGTTTCTGTTGGTTAGAAAGCACAGGGTTTGGTAAGATGCAGTTGTGCGATGAAATTTTAGAAGTTAATCAAATTTTTGGGGGGCCTTTTTTAGCCTTTATTATAGCCAAAAGTGGAGAAAGAAAGGATATATGGGGAGAAGAGTCGGGGAAGAACCTGCAGTAAATGGTCATGGGCTGGACTCAAACCCACGACCCCTGTCTCGGGGACTACAGCCCCTCTTCATGGGTCAACCAGTTGAGCTAACGGGGTGCCCAGAAGTTAATCTAATTCAAACAAACCTTCGATTACAGTAGCACGAGTGAAATAGCAGGTATAAATGCAACATTGGAGTTATACCTAAAGCTAAAGGAGGAGTTGGTGAAATAGGGAGGGCTGTCGAAGTCCCTGATGCCGAGACAGCTTCTGACGTCATTCATGGTTGGCAGAGACATGTTTCCTCTCTCCATGATGCCTCGCTGAATGAAACCCTCGTTGGTGCCGTTGCAGAGAGTCACCAGGCGGTTGTAGTCATCCAGACTGGAAAGGAAAACACATGTAAAGCATTCAGACGGATTCGTAGAATTCTAGACGCGTACTGCTTAGTTCATTTCAACCCAGCTAATAATTACTGAGATCTCTCCACCCTTCTGTCAATATGTTGTGCTGACCTGTTGCACACCACGCCCCATCTGGAGAATCTGGACTGGTTGCTGATGAGGGAGGGGTTGTCTGGGTTTCTGCCTCCCAGCAGAGAGTCGGTGCACACATCACACTCGCTCTGCCCCGTGGCAAAGTTCCAGTAGGGGATTGCAAAGTTCTCATTGCCAGTCAGTCTCTGCAGCGCAAAAGGCACATTTTATTGATTTTAGTTTACATTAGTATGAGGAATGTTTTTTTCTTTCTTTGTTGATATGGCTTCACTTTCTCTTCTCTGTGTTTTCTGTCTGCATCAAACCTTCATCCTCTCACTTTTTCCCATCAACACCTTGTATTTTGGAAAATCTTCCACATAATTATCATGCATCCACCCTGATTTCTGTTCTTTAAAAAACAGCAAAATGCTCTCAATCAGTCTGCAACACGAGCAAAATAGTTTTTTTTAGGAAGGTTAGAGCGAAGTGATGCAGCAAAATGTTACTGATTAATAAACTCGATGGATACACACCACGATGAAATAACATTCGTAGGAG